CCTTCCAAACCCTTCTCTATTGCGTACGAAGCAATGGAAATAAACTGATAGTAACACAGTATTCTCATTTTTGCTTCAGAAACTACTTAATAAAGAGTGGGGAAGAAAGATTTAGTAGTGATGAACTAAAAGAGGTACTTACCACTTACTATTCTGTGAAGATGTAATATTGTAAGCTTTTATTATCATTAATTCTTCGCTTAGTCGTGAAATTCCAATTCGTAATTACAAAGGTTTAGTACGTCATATTAAAACAATCTTGGATAATGAAATCGGCAAGTCACGTGAAAATCACAGCTGCTGTAAAGTCACGGTGGAACAGAATGTATCAAAACTACACTTTGATATTGTTTGGCATTTTGTAAGTAGTGTGATGTCAACCCAAAACAGGTCGCTTTTGGAAAAGATATCCCTTGTACTTAAAGGCATCGTAAAACAAAGACACGAGGATCAGTTTGGGGTACCAGGACCACCCAGAAAAAGATCTGCAACATGTTGTTTTTTCCGGAACGACAACGTCTTCATGAGGCTAGTTGCTCACTCTTTTTTTTAAAAATAGCATCTTATTTAAAGTGCATATAAAATTATTACAAATAAAGCTGCACACAACATTACGCTGGGTCAATTTCATGTAAATGAATTGTCTCTAAAAGCAAAAATTTTTATTAACAAATATTTGGACATTTTACAGTAGGCCTAAAACACAAGTGCTTACTGGAGAATTTTACAAAGTCGGTAATTTTATTTTCATGAACAAAAAAATGTGGGTGGGTGAAACTTTTGTGTAGTTACCTTCTTAAACAATATACCGTTTGTGTCAGCTGCCGTCTTAAACAGCGTGCCGTTTGTTTCAGCTGCCGTCTTAAACAGCGTGCTGTTTGTGTTAGCTGCCGTCTTAAACAGCATATCGTTTGAGCTAACTGTCTTCATAATTAAATATATGATTGTTTTGTTTGTTTTGAATTTCGCATAAAACCACTGGAGGGCTATATGCGCTAGTCGTCCCTAATTTTGAAGAGATTGATTAGAAAGAAAGCAACTATTCAACCCCACTCCCTTTCAATTCTTGAGCTACTCTTTACCAACGAATAGTGGGATTGACTCTCAAATTATAATGTCCTCACGGCTGAATGGGCAAACATGTTTGAGGACGGAATTCGATCTACGCCCCACAGATCGCGAGCCATGTGCCCTACCCTAACCACAAGGTCATCTTAATTAACGAGTGTCAAATTTTTATGATATACTTTTGCGGTACTTTACAATTGCTAATCATCAAGCTTCAAAGTGTTTGTTTGAAACAAAAATAAACAAACTTTTCTTTTAGTTATGGCATGTTGTTTAAGTGTTTGGTTTGTTATGAATTTCGCGCAAGGCTACACGAGGGCTATCTGCACTAAACGTCCCTAATTTAGTAGTGTAAGACTAGAGGGAAGCCAGCTAGTCATCACCACTCACCGCCAACTCTTGGGCTACTCTTTTGCCAACGAATAGTGGGATTGACCGACACTACATAACGCCTCCACGGCTGAAAGGGTGAGCATATATGGTGGGACGGGGATTCGAACCCGCGACCCGCAGATTGCGAGTCGAACGCCCTAACCACCTGGCCATGCCGGGCCCTTGTTTAAGTGTAGACGACCTGTTACTGCCAAGTAATCTTGTCGAAAATACCATCGGCTGGTTCTGAATATTGTTTAGCTGGCTTTCAATTATAACTTAAGCTATTGCGCAATCTGCACTAACACATCATTACATATTATCAACTTTTAATTGTTTTATAAAATGTGTATCTTAAAAATTGTCATTTGTTGGCCTTTTGAGTTTATTATCATAATTTGTTTCTGCACACATATAAATACAAGTATATGAAGGATACTAGGAATTCACGAAGGAACATAAATTAAATGAATTAGAAAACAAGATCTCGAAAACGAGTTCTTTCTGAATAATGATATTTGTTTCTTTGCAGGTGAATAGGGAAGGTGTAGCTTCCGAAAAGCTCAGATTATCAGATTTTTTATTTTCTGACTAGAAATATATATATATTGTATAAAGCTCTCAACAGATGGCAATACATTACACGTTTCTATTTTACGTTGTGGGGAATAGTTTTTTCTTTGTTTGTAATTAAACACAAAGCTACACAATGGGCTATCTGTGCTCTGCCCACCACGGGTATCGAAACCTGGATTCTAGCGTTGTAAGTCAGCAGACATACCGCTGTGCCACTGGGGGGCGTGGGGAATAGTTTGTTCGTTTGAAGTTAAGCACAAAGCTACATAATGGACTATCTGTGCTCTGCTCACCAATGGTATCAAAACCCGGTTTCTAGCGTTGTAAGTCCGCAGACATACCGCTATGCCACTGAGGGGCATGGGGAATAGAAGCAACTACTTTCACGTGAAATTGTAATCGTTTCATGTGCTTTAAAGCAACATCTAGTATTAAAAAAATAACACGTAACAAATTCCAAACACAAAATAACTACAAAATAGCTTGGCTAGAATGTACACCAAATAATGTTACTGTTCATAGACTTTACCAACAAAAGTATTATGAGATTAGATAGCATATATAGTTTTCTTTCTCAGTTTATATTACAGTAGTTTGTTTGTTTGTTTTTGAATTTCGCGCAAAGCTACACGAGGGCTATCTGCGCTAGCCGTCCCTAATTTAGGAGTGTAAG